TGTCCACTTCGTCTTTGTGTCCCAGAAGAGCATAGGGAATCTCGCAGATCAGTTCCCACGGTTTCCACTGCAGATCGTCCCTCAAGACTGCATGCTGGTCATAGATTACCATGATCGGACTCAAGTCACTGTAGTGTGGTGTGCCACTGTCATCCTCCCATACTATATCGAGACTTTTGTCCTGCCAAGATTTGTAGGTGAGCAGCGGACGCTGGTCTGCGATGTTGGTTCTTATGAATTGAGGCACTTTCTCAGTCTCCTGCGTTGTGATCATGGACAGGGAAGGCCGAACTGCGATCTGCCATTCGCTTTTCTTTTTGTTGAACCTGAGAGGCATGATTGGGATTGAATGGGTGAGGGAGATGGTATCGATTTTGGCTGCTACTGCAAGATCCAGTGGGTTCTCGTCTGCAATTTTGTTCAGGGAGAGAGAGACCTTTCCGAACTCTTGGTTTTGCTCTTCTAGATGTCTTGTCTGTCTCTCGAGGATTGCAATTTGTCTCCTCTTTTCCTTTTTCTGATTCTTTGATTGCCTGATCAGATCAGTGGCCAATTGTTTGATGGCTTCTTCTTTGGTTCCTTGTTCCCCTTGCCTTCGGGTTTCGTGGTGGTCTCTTCTTCTTGTGTGTGGTTCATTCTTACCTCGTGCAGGCATGAGACTGGCCACTCCGTTTTCTGGTTTGTGGTTGTGTTCTGGTCGGGCTCTATTCCCTCTTCATTCTTGCCCATGTATTGCGCTGCAAGAAATTCTGAGAAGGTGTTCTCCACTGGCAGTGCTTCGTAGGGATTTGGGGATGTTGGAAAGTCGGCTAGGTTGTCTATGCTTGTAGCCTTTTGAAGGCTGTTGATATGTCTGGCATGTGGCATCCGGATTTCCAGGTCCAATTCCCGATGGATTTTCAGTGAGGTGATGTACTCTTCAAGCCAGTCTAAGGAGTCAGTTGTGTCCTCTTCCATTGCAGAAACCTGATCATCTTCTGCTGTCCTTGCCGGTAGTGAGGTGTCCAGTTGCATTCCACTGGGTCTGTCTTCTGTATCTGAGGTGCCATCCTTTTGCTTCTTGTGATCCGGGATTTTGTCTGTTCTCTTTCTCGTTTCCTTGCTGTCTTCTTCTTCCCCTCTGGTTTTTCTTTTTGCCCGTCCTGTGTTTCCATTGTTGTTTTCTGCCCCAGTTCTTTGTTTCCATTCCGTTTCTGTGCTCCAGGTTTTCGAGGTAAGTTTTTTCTGCTTCCCTTCCCATGGCGTGAACTTCACTGAGGATCTGATTTTTGTACATGTTCTGTTCCAGGTGAAGGGCCTGTCCGAGGTGTGTCGATCTGCCGTTCCTCTTTCCACCTCCAATCTGCTATCTGCTTCCGTGCAGGGGAAACACATCAGGTTCACAGGCTGGTACTGCGTCTGACAGTGTCCAGATCCATGTTGGGCTTTCTCTGAGATCGTTGAAGACCCATCCTGCATAGGCTGGGTCGGTGATGATCCAAATACCCTTCATATCTTCCGCTTCCACTATCGAGGAAGGGTGCAGTCTGTTTCCTTCTCCCTTTCTGTTATTCTGTGGGCACCGAGGGTCGTTCCCCATGTGTCCTTCTGCATCTGAAGCACATGGGGTTCATTTTGGTGGAAATGTAGACTGTCTGGACTTGATGTCCCAGCCTGAAGAACCATCTGTCTGGGAGTTCTGGCGGGTTGCTGGACTTCAATTCTACGTAAGCTAGTCTCGAATTAGTGCTTGGTGTAAGGAAACCGGGAGTTGAGGAGACCCACTCAACAAGAGGGCATTGTGGGTATGAGGCCTTCAGCCTTTCTTCGATCATTCCGTGTAGACCGTTCGATAGGTTGTCGAACTGAATCCAGAAGTGCTTGGACATCAGCGATTACCTATGTCTTGTTGAACCTTGCGGCGCTGATCTGTTGGGTCTCCATTTGGCAATTGAAACCACAGACCCCTCGCCATAGAGGGCATGTATCGACAACAGGTAAGCAGCGTACTCTGGGTCAGCACAGAGCGCTGAGACTACATTTCTTCCTCTCTGCTGGTAAGCCACTTAGAGTTCAGTGTCTTTCAAGTTTTCGATGTTCAGAAGCGCTTATCGGATTCTTCTTCTTTTTTCCGTGGGGGGAAGGTGCTTCAATTTTGATGGGAATGAACAAACAACTGCATGAGATTTGTAAATTTCATCCAAGACAGGGAGGTGTTCCTTTGGGTATTCCCAAACTTCAACTTCCGCTTCTTCGTCTTTGTTAACTTTCAGAATCTCCTTCGATATCACCGATCTGATACTTGTTTCTTTGATCACCTTGTTCAGGACCTCTTGACTTGGGTCCTGTTCGCTTTGGAAACATATCCTCTTTGACCCTGCTCTCGAGTCAGCAGTTGAGGTTGTGCCCGTGGCTGTTCCTGCGGCTGAGCCTGTTCCTGTGGGAGTGATCTGTGGCGGGCATGTGGTGTGGTTAGACGACATGATGTGAAAGGGCTGATTTGCGTGGTAATGAAGGGGCTAGGAGTATTCTGGGGGAGTCTGGGGTTGATCGGAGTCGGCTAGTTAGGTGAGGAGGAAATTGGAGGGTTTCAAGGCGCTGAGTTTTGTCGGTGAGTACTCGTCCCACCTGGGGTCAATGGTTGCTACTACAGATGCTGGGTTCGAGTAAGCGATTAGCTGTTTTGTTTCCGAAAAAAGTTGGAATGTGGGAGCCTGGGTCGTATCATCTGGTGATGGTTTGACGATTTCACACTTTTGGGAGTTCAAAGGAGGTGGATGTGGCAAGCTTGACGGTAAGTTGCAGCGGCTAAGCTTTGGGATAATTGTCTGTAATCAACTTTAGTGGAATTAATGTTGAGGTGTGTTAATTTATATTTGGTACCTAGTGAGTAAGGTTGAGTATGAGGTGTGCTTCGGGATATGGATTACTGATCGACGGTTGTCTCGCTGAGGTCTTGCTCTTGAGAGGGGAGTGTTTGGGGAGAGGGGTGGGAGAATGGTCATGTGGGGGAGGCGTGAGGGTGTGGATTCTACGAATGGAAAGGTGGGCGATATTGGGTAGCGGCTACTTCTGAGTAGCTGTTGTTTGGTTGGGATTATGGTGGAAGGGGATTGGAGACGGCCGGGATTTCCAGTGATGGGTGTTGGGTCTGTCTGTATCGTTACTTTGGATTTTGGATTTTGGGGAAGGCTGGCGAGGGTGATCGTGAGTGGGGGGTAAGGGGGAATTGTGGGCGGGTGGGAGTGGTGTAGGGCGGAGGTTGTGGTAGGTTGTTGGATTGGGCTGTGTTTTGCGGGGTTGTGTGGTCATATGCGTGATTTGTGGTGGTTGATTGTTCCGGGGGTGTAAGGATGGATGAGTGTGATGGCCACGGGTGAGGGAGGGGGGTGGTTCGTGTGTGAGTCCGGAGGTTAGGTGAGTGGGGCTGGAGTGCTGTGATTATTATTGGAGATGGGAGGCCGTGGGATGGACAGTGTGTTGGGGGCGGTTGCGATTGGGGACGTAGTTGGGAGTTGTGGGTTTAGTTGAGGTTGTAAGGGGGCGGGGGGGAGGAGAGGTTGGGATTGGGCCAGTGTAGATGTAAAGATCTTGGGGGGAGATAGAATTTTCGGGGGTGACAGGGAGAGAATGTGGTGGAAGGGGAGGTCAAGTGGGAGAAAGAATGTTGATAATTTAGTAAGGGGTGCGGGCTATGTATCTCGTCTAATATTCCGGTCTATTGTTATTTTAGGTATTTCTCGCGTCACCGATAGTGTTGAGGTAGGATAATTACCTCGAGTATTCTTCCTTTGGCTGTGGTGGATCACTTACTTCTCTGTCTGTTACCTTCGCTGCTGCTTGAAACTTGCCTTCCCTTGGACTTTGTCTTTTTCCTTCTCTGACTTGCTGTTTTCTCCTCCTCGTATCCCCACCGTCTCGATCTTTCTCTACCAAGACCCTCGCCTCAATCTGAGCTTCGTGTCTCCTCTGTTCCCTTTATTTCTCTTGGTTTTAATGATTTCCTCTTGTCTGGCTCCGTTTTCGCCTCCTTCTTTGTCTTTTCCTCCACTCTTCACTTTGCCGCTTCTATTGTTCTACTCTTTCCCCTGTCTCTCCTCCCTGATGTGCCCGTCATTAGGTTCTTGTCCTGAAGATTGCTCCTGCGCGCCTTGCACGGATATGATAAGCTCTCGCTCGAGTCAGGGAAGCGTCGGTGACGACTTTCCTTTTTTCGGAAGACTACAAGATCGATGGCTTTTCCTCTGGGTTACTGCTGCTTGACACTCGTTCGTGAGAACTGTAGATCCTTGTCCACGGGCTAGGAGTACTTGAGGGTGGGTCTCCGCTTCCGTCGTATTCTGAGGAAGGATGGTGAAACCTTGTGGCTCTTCCTTTCGAATTCCGGTGGAGCCTGCTCACACTTTTCTCACCTCCCTCTTTGCTCTCCCTTTCTCCTGTCGTGCCGAAACTTCCAGTGGATCCGCTTCCTCGTCGGGTAGCTGCCTCCTATCGGGGATCTTGACTTTCTCAATGATGGTGATGGCGTTCCTCTCACCACGCCCGTGGGCGTGGCGCGTCCTTACTCGAGGTCGCGACTTCCCTCTCCGGAAGTTCGAATGTTCGGTTTCCCGCTCAGCGGGACCAGACCCCGTGGTTGGGCTCCGGCTGAGCGCGGCTACCGTGGTGCGAGACGGACGCAAAAAAAATTGGTTTCTGCGTTAGCACTAACCTCGGGCGCTCGCGAAAAACGCTGTCTCACTCTCCATCAACCGTGAGTACTTAAACCTTGACCAACGAACTACCATAGACCTTCCTTCTTCTGCGCCCACGCGACATAGACTCTACGAGTCTACGTGACTAAGTTCAGATCGTCAAAGGGACGATTTAATGTCCTTGGAGCAATCTGTACAACAAACGTTTGCTGCACTCAGATGACATTCATTCATTTCAGTCGTGATTTCGAGGTAAACAACCAGAATCTTTCAGAAGCCACAAGGAGCAGTAAAAAGGATGAAACCAATTGGGGTCAACGTCATCACCTGCCCAATACAGAAGAATGTGCCCTGTCTGGTTCACAATGCGATATTGGGCTGTAGTCTGCATCTGCTCCGAATGATGCCTCAATGTGCTGCCTGTACTTGATCCCTGCACAGAGCAGAAGCCCAAGACTTAGTCATTAGTCCTGGAAATTGCAGCACAGGCAAAAAGAAACATAAACCAAAGAGACGAGGAGATGTTTAGGTGTCTCACACTCCCTCAGTTGTTGCCTCAGTAATTTCATCAGATCTGACCGTTGCAGGAAAGCGAGGGTTGCCAAGAGCAATCTGGTCTGATCTTATACCAATAACGTCCTCATTTTAAAGCCGCGGAATTTATTACCAGAGTTGTGCAAAAGCAGGATGTATAAACTTCGTCCACCCTATTGTATAAAGATTCGTCAACCCTGGCCTGGTTCATTGTCCATATCAGGAAACTGGGTACTATGTCTTCCACATAGAAAGCTTCAGTCCTTGAGAGGTTCTAACTACTGCCTTCACCCGAATAGAACGCCTGGTCATTATAGCTGTATTTGGTGTAACTTTTGGTCTAGATACAGCTATAATGACCGGGTGTTTAAATACAGCTATAATGACCGGGCGCTCTATTCGGGTGAAGACGGTATCCATCAACGTTGAGTGTTACCAGGCGGTGTTGCCAGTGAATCATGGACTATTTGCGGCAAAGGATTTTCACCTTGGATGGCCCGCATTTCAAAGTACCATCTGAAGATGCTGAAGAGGAACTTCTGCATTTAAATACCATCGGTCCCTGTGGGCCTCTTTTTCCCGAACCATATTTCTGCTGCGTGCTGAAAAAAAAAAACGAACCAGTGCGGCCGTACAATATCTTTTTTCCGCCGGCCTGTGACAGCCTTTTCCTTCCAGTTGGCCAAGCCCACAACTATGCAGCGCATTAACCGCCATGTCAGAACAAAAATAGTTCGGAAAGGGAAGATGAGCTTGGAGCTGTAATTAGTCCTATAAGGTTGGCCGCAAAAAAAGGACGATTGTGGGTGTACACACTTACAATCGAACGACGTGGATCCACTTTCAATCTTCAACTTGGTAGACAATTTTTCAAAAAGGTTGCTATAGCCTCCATTCCATTATGAAATGAACATTAGTGCTACTAAGGATCACATTGCCTCACTAACCTTCACATGGTGTATGAGTTTGGCAGAAAGCTATTCACCTATACTTCTCATTCGAAAATGAAAGTTGGTGCTGCTAAGGATCACCTTGCCTTACACTTCCTCTACGAGACTTACGCAGCCTAAAACACCACTAGTATGCAAACCCCTAAACCCGGATAAAACCCTATCCCCTGTCCCAAAGCCACAGGTGATACTATCCCGTAACTAACCCAAGCACCTACCTCAGGAACCCTCAACAGGATTACACCACAGTCCTTGTAACATATTCAAACCAGCAAAAGACAGTAAAATTCTGCAGGCAAAAGCTAGGACAGATCAATAAAGGGTACAGCGCTCCAGTTTCACTGTCATTTTAGGCAGCAAACAGCTGAGAGGAGCATAGCTTTCCAAAGTCCCTACGAAAGTTCTGGACTAAGTTCAAGGGCAGTATAGCAATAGGTACCAAGCAGCAAGGGCAAGAGTAGCATTAGGCTAAGCAAGGGCAACAGTAGCATTTAACTAAGCAAGGGCAATGGTAGCATTAGGCTAACTTAGGCAGGAGTGAGGGGAGGTACATCCTTCCAGACTGGAAGTAATCGATGCCGCCCACTGGGGTCTCCCAACCATAATGGGGGGAAGCATCTTGCGTGTCTTATCATTTGTATTCCTGACTTGCTGGTGGAATAGGTACAGGACTGATGCTCCCCAGAACGGACAAGGAGCCAGAGCCATAAGGCTCTGTTTTGGTTTGGGAAAAAAAAAAAAAAAGAAAAGGATCACCTTGCCTCACCAACCTTCACATCTTGTATCAGTTTCATAGAAAGCTATTCACCTAAAACATAGCTGCTTGGGTTGTTTTGGTTCATGAAGTTTTCTGCAATTTGAAATCGTTTCTGGAAAACATCCCAAAAAGAAGAGGAGAGCAACAACGTTTGGGGCATGTCAAATAGAATTATAGAAGCCTTGCCTCTGTCTTGGGAGACTTCCGGCGTAGCATGCTATCATCATCGCCTGAGGTGGTGTCCTCAATTGACTTCCTCTGCAGATAGAGGGTCAGCACCAACACAAATGGAGCCACACGAACTGTGAGTTTAGTGGATCTGTTGCCCCCATCCTCGCAAGGGGCACTGTATTTGACTAGAGTTCATTCAGTTACCTTATTGTTTTTGCTACTCCTTGCATGATGTGCATTGTGTGTCCTGTGTGAGTCAAAGGCACATCGTGGATGCTATGTGCACCGTTCTTTTTTTTCCTTTTTTTTTTTTCCGGACCATTTCTCTATTTATGCATGTCATCCTTGCACAGGGGCCATATGCTAATCTTCTCCGTATCATTCCAATTTCAAATGGATGTCTCGAAGGACTAAGTGGCAAGCGCACCATTCTTCATTTAGTTGATTCATGATTTTTGTATACTCGCGAGGTGATGTCCTCTTCCCCTATAGGACACTTACCATCATGTAGTCCCCATCACCTCCATCACCTGCTTGCGTGCATGTCCAAGCAGGACGCACTCATGATTAACTCTTAAAGCGAAGTGAAAGCATTTGGACCTATCCTTCCTACCTCCCATAAGTGCTGACAATTACCACATAGACACCCCCTCTCTCTCCTGACCTGTGAGTGTGCGCCGTGCCATGTGGAAGTCTTCCATTCTCCATCCTATTCCATGGCGAGCCCTGTTCTTGATTCCAAGCCGTCCAGCCAGCAGTTGAGTATCATTGACAGGAATGTTGGAGTCACACTGACATAAACTCTAATCACTTGATGTTCATTTTAGAATCATTCAGTATGATTGGCCCAATCGGAGGGTGTATGCGTAAGTTGGGGACGATAAGGCAAAGTCATAATTACTGAACCAGTCGATTCCGTGCAATGTATCACATGAATGCCACGAAATGTCATAGTGGTGCGCAGATTCAACCATCGAAAAATACAGGATTGCATCAGGTCACTCCCAGGATGGTGAGCATCTCTCTCTGCAGACTGGGCTCTCTCTGTCATTCCTCACCTTGTTTGAAATGCTGTGCTCTTGTGAACTTTCGGATCCCTGTTCCTTGTTATCACATGGCAAACCACATAGGAACGGTCAAAGGTCAGGCTGCACTGCCTCAGTCAACACAAAGTAGCTAGAGAGATTCTTCTCTTCATTAGAAGTCGTGCTTTGTTCCTCGAGATAGGAAAATGAGTGTTTCTCTTCAGCCTTGTATCCCATCCAACGAATCCCTTTCACAAATGCCAGCCATGCCAGGAGATATCAGTTCCAGTGCACACACACCAAAATGGCCCTCTGCCACAACAATCTCGAGGGGGGCGAGTCAGATAGGGCAGAGTATCACAAGATGCCGCTTGGAGAGAAAAAAAAACATCCTCCTTTCATCATCTTCTTCTTCCTCCAATGGTGGGCGGTGGCAGTGACATTGGAGGGGGGAGTGGCGGGTCTGGAAGGACGAGAGGCAAAACGGCAGCAGACAAAGGAAAAGGAAAAGTTGCAAGCACCTCCACTACGCCCGCATCGGCTGTGACCTCCAAAGACCCCAAGCCGGCAATGGACCCTTCGCTGTTCATTCCACAGGACAAGGCGAGACAGGACAAGCTGCAGATTCCCAAAGACCCCACGCCGGCAATGGACCCTTTTACCTCCTTGTCAAACCCCCCCTCTCCCCAGCACACATGCCTTTCACAAGTTCCTCTGCGGATTCGGGCTCCTCTCAGTCAGCGCGCTCCAACCCCATCTTCAAAAAAACAAAAAAAAATCTGGGACGTTTTTTGGCTCGTCTGGTTTCGCCGGACGGACACCCCCAGTCCGTCTGGCCCGGTCCATCTGGACCGGGCGTCGGCCTAACCCAGATAATTTCATCTCAGAGATCCAGCGTTGTTGAAATTTAGCATCTTTGCAAAGCAACATCGTTATTCTTAGCATACTTTGAAGTTTGAACAGGAATATATGGCAAGATGATCCGAAGAAACTTCAGACGCAAGAGGTGAATAACGGGAGTTGAGCCCGTGCTTTCAAATTCACAATTTGACTCAGAGCCTTTGTAATGTCTGGCATCAATCACTACTATGGTCCCTCTGCTGCCCCCAGTGTTTGCACTTTATTACCACATCATTGATGGTCATCAAAACAAACACACTAAAAAAAAGGGAAATCAAATTTCGTGTTACTTCATGGTGAATATAGTCTGCTAGAATTTCCTCCATTCCTACATACATATGCAAAAAAAGACTAAAAAGTAGGATATTTAACAATGCAATCAGACTCGCTTTCAAACACACTTTTCACACATGTAAACAGTACGCAGCACACTGGCGACATGCGCCCACTCAAAACTCAGGGATATGGCTTCAGATACGAGTTCACTCTCAAATGGCTATGGCGACTTCAGCGCCCAAACATCTCACTGTTCACATGCACTGGATCACCCTGGATA